ATGGCGAGTGAGACACAGCATGTGAGCAAGAGTGAAACAGCATGAGCACGAGCATGCGAATGAGAGAAACAGCAGGGAAGGGAAAGGGTGCAAAAGCATGGGGGAGAGTGAGGAAGAGTATGAAAGCAGGAGAAAACAGCCCCAAGCAAGCAGATGAGTGAGCAAAAATGGATGAAGGAGTGTGAGCAAGCAAGAGTGAGCAAAAAAGTRAGAGATGAATGACCATGAGACTGAGCAAGTGACAAAGTGAGAGTAAGAATGGGGCAGGAATGGAAGGTGAGAAAGAGGGAAGCATGATGGGGGCAGAAAGAATGAAAAAGAGGGGAAAGGGGAAGAAGAGGAGGGAGAAAAGGGAGAGTAAGGAGGAGAGCAAAGAATAGGGGARAAGARGGGGAAAAGGTGGGGAGAGAAGTAGAGTTGGACAAGGAGGTARATGGGGTGAAAAAGGGGAGCATGAAGGAAAGAGGGAGGGTGAGAAAACAAGGAAGGGAGAGTGCACTCGGGCTCCTGTGTGATGTGTGTCTCGGGGGACAAGAGAGTGGCAGTGTCAACAACACATACTGAAGCAGCATCTGAGGTGGGGAAGGACTGGGTTCTTTACAGGCTCAAGCTCTATAAACCTGACTGGTTCAGCTGAAGGACTGCTGGGTGGCTTCCTCACAGCCACTAGACCCTCCTGTAGAGCAGCTTTAGACCATGTCACCTGTTGGTACTTTGTGTCCCAAAGGTCAAGATGTGCAGCAAGAGCTCATCGTGCTGCTCTGCCAAAGAGAGCTCACCTAGTAATTTAATCTGTTTGGGTTTCTGATTTCATAAGCCTTTTTTTTTTTTTTAAGGCTGGAAAAGTAGAGATGCAATCCCTAAACTGGTTGCTGACTACATGGAGAAAAAGTTTGTTCTGGATCCGTTAATAACCCACACGCTGCCTTTCAGTAAAATCAATGAGGGATTTGATCTGCTGCAGAAAGGGAAGAGGTAAAGATTGTTATTTTTGAAGGTTYCATATAAATAACTTGCAGAGCTGCACAKTRGTCCAAAACTTCAATGCAGAGAGGGAGAGGAGGGCAGCCCACAGTGCCCTTGGGCATTACCCCGTGTAGCACGTGCTCCATGGGTGTTAGCMTCTGAAACACAGGGTCCCTGCTTTCCCGCCAGGGCAGTTTTCAGGTTCTCTCTGTTTTTGTTTTGTTTTGCTTTTTCATTTGAGCAAAAGCCTGGGGGGAAAAAAGCCCATCCCAAACAGCCATCTGTGTTAGCTGGAGAAGAGCAGGGAACCAGAGAAGCCTCTGAAATTYTGCACGTGTGATGGGTGATGTACGAGATGTACATCACGTCCCAAGAAACGCTTGAGGATGAGGTGCAGGAACGTGGAAATGGCGGGTGTTTACTGTAAAGCACCTCAGCGCGGCCGCTGTGAGTTGCACAGCAGAGTCTCAGGACAGTTTGTTGTAAAGACACTGAGTAGCTTAGCTGGAAGTTCAGGGAGAAATTTCCAAAGAGAAATTAAGTTGCACTCTGTATTTGGCAAGTGACAGCTTAGCTCTGGTGTATTCTYGGCTATTGTGGGAGTTGCGGGAAGCAGGAATAACCTAGATTTTCAGAGGGAAGAGCGGCGCCTCACTGCTACTGGCACGGGGGCTTTTCTGCAGTGGCTAAGCTGTCATTTTGCATTGCAGCATTCGCAGCGTGCTGGTGTTTTAGGATCCAAACACACAACCGCAGCACTGTGCATAGCGCCATGCAGCACGACGCGAGGCATTCCGGGAACGTCTGGCACCCTTGAGTAAAGCAGATCGAGCTCTAAACCCAAACTTGGAGGCACAGCATTTATAAAGGAAATAAATCATTCTTCCTGATTGTTGCTTGAAATAATCAGTATTCCTCTGCTTCAGGCTTGTG